TGGAAGCAAGTTTTCAAAACTGTCACCTAAACACAATGCCTACTCTGGTGGTTTCGAGTTCCACTTATATACAAACTGTGTCCTACTGTTGTCTCTTATAGAAGGTTTCATTTTACAATGAGTTTTTCCTGTAATATCCTAATTACTTCAGTCTTTACATAAATTTTTTATATTTTCAAGGCCTGTAAAATAATATGTCCACATAATTAATGCACTGTGTGTGGACCAGTGCTTTCATTTAAGCTGTTAGACATGTTCATAAATTCAAAGATTAGTTCTACCTGTTGACCAAAACAAAACAAAATAAAATACACCTTTTTTTTAACAAAATATGCTACTCCAAATTTAAATGAACAAGCAAGTCATTGTTAAAACATACATTCTGACATCTCCACTCTTTTCAATTATTTTTGTTTGTTTCCATCCAATACTAGTCTAAATGAATCAACTAATGACACAAACTGCGAAGTTTTCCCTTTATAGAAATCCACTGTAACAGCATTTCCCATTCCACTCTGACCTTACAGACACATTCTCTTAGCTACTATCTTATGACTTCATTACTCCCTCTTAAAATAATTTCAATGCTTCCCTAATGCCCTGGTTCCTATTAATATTTAATACTATTCTTTAAATAGTCACTAATTAGAGAGTACTCTCCAACTCAACAACTAGATTTAACACTACACAGCCAATATCGTTTTTATATGCCCCACAAGGTTATTGTAAGAGTCAAATGACCAAGTATGAAGGGAAAAAAAAGAAACCACTGAAAAATTCAAAGCCTATATAATGAATTACAAGCTTTCTTTCACACTGCAGCAATGGATATTAAATACATAATGTTCCAGAAAATTCTTTATGCAACTTTCTGAAATGTAGATATAATTAAGTAACATAATGTTTTTATTGTAGAAGGCAATGCACAATTTATAAGAAACTAAAAGTTTCAAAGTAAGAACTGTCACTTTTCTATGCCCTACTCCATCTTTTATTTATATCTTCCAGCATCTAAGTAGCCATTTTTCCATATATAAAATGTTTTAAGGGAAGAAAGTGATCTTGAATGTAGACCAAAGGATTTATTTTTGTTTTAGCAATTCAAAATGTTATCCATTGTTTCCTTTATGTATTTCAAATTGTGATTCAAAAAGACACAAAAAGCTGCAATGAGATAGATATCCCTGCACTCCCACCGGGGTGTCGAGATTAAAAAGTCAAGTAACAAGTGTTGGCAAGGATGCGCAGAAATTGAAATCCCCAAACACAGCTAATAGAACATAAAACTGACTGCACCAGCTTGTCAAACAGTCTAGTAGCTCCTTAAAATGTTATCATATGACCCAGGAACCTCACTTCCAGGAACATACCAGAACAGATGAAAATATGTCCACACAAAAACTTGTGCATTAGTGTTCATTGAAACATTTCACATATTAACCATAAGGTACAAATGAGGCTCAAGATTTACTCCCCCAAATATGGCACTCAGTCCTCAGAAAATAACAGAAGCAGGAAGTCTCTCTTCCCTTAACCCTTCTCCTAAAAGAATTCTGTGACCTTCCATAAAGTCCTTATCTTTTTCTCCCCCCGCTTTTGGTCATGGGGTTTGAAATCAGGGCCTAAGCGATTCTGTCCTTAGTTTCTTTTTTGCTCAAGGATAGCATTCTTCCACTTTGAGCCACAGCTTCACTTCTGGTTTTCAGGTGGTTAACCGGAGATTCAAGTCTCACAGACTTTCCTGCCTGGGCCAGCTTGGAACTGCTATCCTCAGATCTCAGCTTCCTAAATAGCTACAATCACAGACATGAGCCACCAGCACCCAGCCATACAGTCCAGAGGTGTTCACCCTGTACCCACAGGAGAGAAATACCATTATCTCCAAAGACATAGGGATACTGTGAAGATTCTAAACAAGGAGGCCTTGCTAAGTCCCTCCAGTTTATTACTAACAGATCATACCCATTTTTCCTCTGATTCTACTTCTGTATGGTTTTCCATACAGAAAAAAAAAGTTATCTCTAATTCTTTATCTCTAATTTTTTTTATTTTTGGGGGGGTGGGGGGGTAGGGTTGGTCATGGGGCCTGAACTCTGGGCCTAGGCACTGTCCCTCAGCTCTTCAGCTCAAGGCTAGCACTCTACCACTTGAGTCACAGTGCCACTTCTGGCTTTTTCTGCTTATGTGGTGCTGAGGAATTGAACCCAGGGCCTCACACATGCAAGGCAGCATTATACCACTAGCCACCTTCCCAGCCCCATGTCTTCATTTTTTTAACGATCTGTTTAGCATTTATTAGTTGTATAAGTGGATCCTGTGTGATTGCCAGACATGTATACAATACACCCGGATCAAACTCAACTACTCCACTCTCCCGCACTCTCCTTTTCTTCCTTCTTGAAATGGTTCCAATCACTGTGGGCTGTTGGCTCACCTTGTAATCCTAGCTACTTGGGAGGAAGAGATCTGGGGATTAGAGTTCAAAGCTAGCCTGAGCAGAAAAGTCCCCAAGAAACACTTATCTCCAATTAACCACTCAAAAACTGGAAGTGGTGCTGTGGCTCAAGTGGTAAATTGCTAGCCTGGAACACAGAAAGGCATTGGGACAGTGCCCAGGCCCCAAGTTTAAGCCCCACAGCCAACAAAATAAAGAAAAAAAACAGTTCCAACTGATTTCACTGTGCAAGTATTTTCATACATGCAATGTTTCGACCACATTCACCCACTCCATTGCCCACCAACAACAGAGCCTTTTTTAATTTCCTGTGATTCATTTTCCATGTTTATTAGTAGTACAAAGGAGTTTTGCCATGGTAGTTCACATGTACATAAGTTATTGAGTTAAATTAACCTTGTCTATTCTTTCCTCCTGTGTCTTCATTTCTAAGGTTTCCCGTGCAATGTAAAATTTATCTTAACTAAATTTGTGTGCTTTGCTCCTGTCAATCTCTCTTTATTAGGGGCCGCAGCTATGAACCTGCAGATGAGAAAATATATTACTTTCTTTCTTCTACAGTGGGAAACAATCCAAAGGTCCATAGACAGATAAATAAGAAGAAAAACGTGTGTTACAAAAGACTTCTACTGCATTATTCTTTCATATGAAATGCCTCAACAGGGAAGTCTAAAGAAACCCAAAGTGAATTCCTGGTTCTTCAGGCCTAGGATCAAAGGTTCAAGAAAATGAGAAATTAAAGAGTGAGAACTGAAGATGTGGGGTTGCTTTCTGAGAAGACAAAGACTCTAAAATTAACTGTGGAGATGTGTGCATGTATGCGCCAACATACTAAGAAACATCGAGCCATATCCTTCCAATAGGTGCACTGCATAGTACGTTACTACCTCAAGTCTGTTTTAAGAAAATATTCAAGTATTGAGGACAAAAAAACTACCATTCCACTACATAATCATAATTCTTATGTTTTGGGGGGGGGAGCAGTATTTTGTTGGTGGTGCTATTGGCACTTTAATTTAGGGCTTCATATTTGCTAGGCAGGTGTTCTAACACTTGAGCCATACTAACAGCTCTTTTTGATTTTGGTATTTTTCCCATAGAATCTTGCTTTTTGCCCAGACTGCAGTCTTCCTATTTACGCTTCCCACAGCGGCTGGGGTAACAGGTACTGTATATAACACTAGGCCCTGCTATTTATTGGTTTAGATGGGGTCTTATGAGCTTTTTGCCTTATGAGCCTTGCTTTGCCTTAAATCATGATCCTCCTGATCTCAGCCTTTCAAGAAGCTAGGATTACAGGTGTGAGCCACAACTGGCCTAAACAATAATTATTTTTTAGTTGCTGAAAATAAAATACTACTATAACAATCTCTACACTTGAAACCAGAGCGTGCCTCCAACTAACTACCAGTCTCCCTGATTCTTCTATCATAACTTCATAACCTCTAACTTTTCTTTCTTCTTACACTACCTTCTCAACCTGGTTTTTGCATGTCTACATCAAATTATTAAATATGGCCAATTTTATTCTGTTTTGTTTTTTTACTCTGATTACAACTTCCTCAGTAACCTTCTCAGAAAGTAAATGTCCTTCAGACCAAGTTGAGATTGCTCTTACTAGCATTTAGGTTATTCTGATCCATTCCCTACTTTTTTCCCCAGGCCAGTATCATTTCTTAGGCCATGCAATGAAAGAACACTTATTCAAGCCTGGTGCTGGTGGCTCATGCCTGTAATCTTAACTACTCGAGAGGCTGAGATCTGAGCATCATGGTTCAAAGCCAGCCCAGGTAGGAAAGTCCATGAGACTCTTATCTCCAATTAACCACCAGAAAACCGGAAGTGGCACTGTGGCTCAAGTGGTAGAGTACTCGCCTTGAGCTGAAGAGCTCAGGGACAGCACCCAAGCCCAGAGTTCAAGCCCCATGACTGACAAAAATAATAGTAATAATATACTTATTCAAATCAGAACTGTCTCTTTACTGCCCCTTGTATGTACTACTCCCTTCGTGGTTTGCCTTTTGTCAGGTTTTTCTCGATGCCTGCTCTCTATACTCACGTCTATCCTTTAAATCACTCAAGCCCATTTCCAAACTCTATATTGCCCCAAGGATTTGTAAAGACCTCCAACTGCAAATGATTTCTTGTATTTCCTTGCCACTTTTAGGACTCCTGCCTGCCATGTGCTAGCACTTGACTTATGTGACAGTCATCTTAGCATTTGGTTTACCTGTCACATATTTTAGCTTTTGATTTACCTGCCATCCCGTTCTGTGTCATTTTATTATTCCCTAAGAAATACTGTGGCTCACTAAGATTTTTTTCACCTCCTTAAGACAAAGGCTATCACTTCCTGTCCTGTCACTGAGATCACAGCACAGTGCTGGACCTAGATGCACCCTTCACACCTCCCAGAATGAAGTAGCTGTTTTGTGTTTCTGTTAACTCTCAACTGTAACTCACCATCCTATTTTCCACCATTTTACACACCTTCTGACTATAAATGCAATTAATAAACCCAGAGTCCAAAAGGTGAACATTGTACCTTATCATACTGACAGACAATTACATTATCCGTGTCAAACAGGTCTGGCACATCCTGCTCACTAGCGTCATCTCCTGAATTTAGAGGATCCTAAAGATGAAAGATGATCACATTAAGAAATTTCATGGGGCTTCAAATGTTTCAAAGCTGGAGATACATATGGAAATAAAGGAGCTTGGAGAGGCAGAATAGTGCTGGACTTTAAAATCAGATGTACTATCTCTGAATAACCAGGTAGGCCATTTAATGACATAACTGACCTTGAGTTAAGTTACTAAAATCTCCACGAAGAAGAAGAGGAGGAGGAGGAGGAGGAGGAGGAGGAGCAGGAGGAGGAGGAGAAGAAGAAGAAGAGGAAGAGGAAGAAGAGGAGGAGGAGGAGGGGAGGGAGGGAGGGAGGGGGGAAGAAGAAGAAGAAGAAAAAGAAGAAGAGGAAAAAGAAGAAGAGAAGAAGGAGGAAGACTTCTCCAATTACTAAATAAGACAAAGCACATAAAACTTAGTATGACAGGCACATATATAATAAGGCCACCCTAAATGATAGTTAATGCTTCTTATAAACTTAATTACCATATTCCACTCAGATTTTACTGTACTCATTAGAACACAGGAATTAGAACATAAAATATAGGCCTCTGCACAGCCTCCCTTCATTAACCTCTACCCAATCCCCTAAACCTCCTGCTGTCTCTAGTTAAGGGCAACTAATATAAGGCTAGTTCCTCAATGCTTACTGCTAGTTTAAAACAGTTTAAATAAAAGTTTTAAGTCCGAGGATCCAAGTCAGTCTCATTTTAAAAGAATAAAGAAAGGGTTAATCTTAATTTCTCTTGTACCTGGTTCCCAAATACACTGAAGTAAAAGGTTATAAGCAAATACAATGTAAGCTCCAAAGCAGTCCCCACTCACCTCCTCCATGACGTCTATCTGAGAGTCTTCATTATCACTACTGTTTGTAGTGGACTCTTCATTGGATACACTGTCTGCTTCTTCTTCAAGCACCTTTAGATCTCCTGTGTCAATAACCCCCAGAAATTCATTGTCGACCTCTCGTATACTTTTTATTTCTTCGGTAGAAGACATATCACCAGTCCCATCTATTTGAATTATTTCATTAACATCATCATCAGCTACCCGAATGCTCAAATTCATCTGAGAAGGTGAATTCTAGGAGAGAAAGAAAAGAAATTCTTCATATCAAAGTACATAAAGTATTATATACAAATTTTAAATTACTTTGGCAAATTTTCTACAAATGGCAAGTTAAAATTTTTCTGTCTTATGAGCTGCTAAATTTTGAATTTGAGAAATTATTTCTCATAACTTAAAAATAAATTTTAAATTAAAAATGAAGTGAGTAAGCCAGGTGCCATGGCTCACGCCTGTAACCCTAGCTACTTAGAAGGCTGAGATCCGAGGATCATGGTTCAAAGACAGCCCAGGTAGAAAAAGTCCCTGAGATGCTTACCTCCAATAAACCTCCAGAAAATGGGAAGTGGTGCTGTGGCTTAAGTGGTAGAGCGCTAGAGCGTTCACCTTGTGCTAAAGAGCTGAGGGACAGTGCCCAGGCCCAGAGTTCAAGTTCCACAACTGACAAAAAGAAAAAAATGGAGTATACTAATACATACTATGTATATACTGTGCATGGGCAATATGTGAGTTCATGAATTTCATATAATATTTACCAGTTTTTTGTTTTGTTTTGGTTTGGTTTTTTGGGGGTCCGGTTGTGGGGCTTGAACTCTGGGCCTGGGCACTGTCCCTCAGCTCTTCAGCTCAAGGTTAGCACTCTACCACTTGAGCCACAGTGCCACTTCCGGCTTTTTTCTTTTTTGCTTATGTGGTGCTGAGGAATTGAACCCAGGGCCTCATGCATGCAAGGCAAGCACTCTACCACTGAGCCAACTTCCCAGCCCAATATTTACCAGTTTTTATATGTGCGACATGCACCTATACACAATCACAACATCTGTTGAGTTTTAATGACTACAGTTTATTCTAAACAACTAAATGAAGTACAAAAGACAAGCAGCACCATGGCCAATGGAAAAATAAAATAGATAAAGGATTATACTAAGTGAAATGAGATAAATATACTTTATACAAGGCTCCCAGAATAGGCACATTCATAGAGACAGAAAGAATTGCAAAGGCTAGTGCTTCTGTTTCCAATATTGAAAAAAGTTCTGGAAACATATTGTGGCGATAGTTGTACTACATTGTGAATATACTTAATACTACTTAATTTTATGCTTGAATGTTTTCGTGGAAAATTCTGTGTCATGTATATTTTACTACAATCAAAATTTAAAATTAGTAATAGAAAGGAAATGTAGTAACCACTTCTTGTCACACAGATTTTTATCTTCTTCAGTCAGATCAAACAAATAAGCAGCTACTAAACACTTCATAAGCATTTCCTAACTTAAATATAACTGCAGCACACTGAGAAATGGAACATTATGCCATACCAAGGTTACAAAGTTAGGAAAGGGTGAAAAAAGATTAAACTCCAAGCTGGAGGATAGAGAGTTCACCACTAATGTACCGTACATACCTTTCCATTAGCTTGTCACAGACAAGATAGAGATCCACAAAATTTCAAGGTCTTTAAGAACAGGGTCTATTTTATATGATAATACACACCATAGGATTTACAGCAGATATTCTTAAATTTATTGATGACATCAGAGAACCTGGTTAAAAGTTCGAATGGGAATAGACAGTACCACTGTATACCTGGAAGCAGGTATCCAGGTTGATTTGCATATTATATATACAACAGGTTTCTTTAGCTCTAACAACAAGATACAAAAGTGCAGCTCAACAGAACAGGCCTTCACAGGATCTGCCTAAGATATTAGGAATCCTAAGGTCACCAAACCTACAGATGGCTTTCAACAGGATCCAAGACACTTCACCAAGGGTCAAATAAATGCTCTTTATACTTTTAGTTTGTGAAGGACAAGTGATGTTTCATACTTGAATACAACAATATCTCAGTGTATCCATGTAAGATGCAACTTTCCTATCTGAATGTACTGAACTTGTTATTGAGGGTATGGCTGCCCTGTGGAGTTTATACCCTATGGATAGTCTACAATGAACCCTCACAAAGTAGACCCAACAGTTGTAGTTGGAAAAATAAAAACTCATAAATTTTTGCTTTGTTTTTCAAGATTACACAAAATCATCATAAAGACAGATCATATTTGAGGTTCCAAAAGATAGTCAGACAAATCTGAAGCACTCAACAACGAAATTAAAATGAGTATAGTAACAAAAGTATGTGAAAAGTCCCACCAAATTGTTAACCTTAACAATTCTAAATACCCAAAAATGAAAGTTAACTTTTTTTTTTTTCCTGTGCTACTACCAAGGCTTAACTCATGACCGAGCACTATCCTTTAGGTTTTTTTCTCAAAGAAAACACTCCACCAACACTCCAGCCACACTGCCACTTCTAGCTTTTTGTTGATCAACTGGAAATAAGAGTTACATGGATTTTTCTTCCTGGACTGCCTTCGAACTAGGAGCCTTAGATCTCAGCCTCCTGAGTACCTAGGATTACAAGCATGAGCATCCTGAAATTTAAAAAAAATAATAATTAAAATGGTAAATAGAAAAGAAGACATAAACAGAAGTAGCATAAATGCCAAGTATCTAGCAAAACTGGTAGAGTTTGGTTGGCAGAAAAAATTGACACATCCTCTTCAAAATATTTTGGCAATTCATTTCAAGTACCTTAGAAATGTTTACAGTTCTTTCTCAAAAATCCTACCTCTTTTAAATGCATATTAAAAATATGATACCAATGAAGCTTTAAAAAAATGAGAATGTTCCTTAAACTAGGTGCTGGTGGCTCACACCCGTAATCCTAGCTACTTAGGAGGCTAAGATCTGAGGATTGCAGATCAAAGCTAGCCTGGGCAGAAAGTCATGAGAGTCTTACCTCCAATAAACACCCCATAAAAAGCAAGAACTGGTGCTGTAGCTTAAATGAAAAAGTTAAAAGAAAAAGTTGAGGGACAGTGCCTAGGCTCTGAGTTCAAGCCCCAGAACCAGCACACACACACACGCACACGCACACGTGCACACACACACACACACACACACACACACACATTCACAATGTTACTTAAGTTTTTAAAGTACCATTTATAGTAGCATCCAAAACCATGAAATACTTAGATCAAAATACATAGAAAGCATGCAAAGTCAGAGACCTAAATGAATAGGAATTGAAGACCCAGTATTGTGAAGATGTCAATTCTCCTTTATTGACCTATGGATTCAACAAAGTTCAAATCACAGGAATCAAAGGTCCCAACATGTAGGCTGACAAGTTCATTCTAACATTTATACAGAAACACAAGAAAATTAGAATACCTAAACTGATTTTGGAGTAGCACAAGATTAAGAGGCTTATTCTCTGACATCCAGACTTACTATAAGCTGCCATGATAAAGATACTTTCTCATGGGAAAAACTAGATATCTGATGCATAAGACAGAATAAATGCTCAGAAATAAGTCAATCTACATAGCTACTGCTTATTATTTAAGGGAAAACATTTTAGACATTTAATGTGATCAGACAATTCAATTAGTAATATTTTTAACAAGTTACACTAAAAACTATTGCATATCCAAAGGCAAAAAAAAAGTGTAAAGCTTGTAACAATAAAAAAAAATTTCAAGAAGAGCAGGATGCCAGTGGGTCACATCTGTAATCCTAGCTACTCAGGAGGCTGAAAACTGAAGAACACATGTCAGAGCCAGCCAATGAGACTTTTATCTTCAATAAACTATTCAAAAAAAGCCAGAAGTGGCACTGTGGCTCAAGTAGTAGGATGCTAGCCTTGAGCACAAATTGGTTCAGGGACAGTACCTAGGTCCTGAGTTCAAGTCCCAGGACCAGCAAAAAAAATTTTTTTTCAAGAAAACGTGACAAATATCTTTGTAACTTTTGTTAAAATATACATGAAGAAGAAGTTTAAAACAAAAAATGAAACAAGCTGGGCGCCAGTGGCTCACATCTATAATCCTAGCTACTCAGGCAGCTGAGATTTGAGGGTCGTGGTTTGAAGCCAGCTGGGTCAGAAAACACCATGAGACTCTTACCTCCAATAAACTACTCAAAAACGCCACAAGTGGAACTGTGGCTCAAATGGTAGAGTGCTTGCCCTGAGCAAAAGAAGCTCAGGGACAGTGCCCAGGCAGGGTTGAAGCCCCAGGACTGTGGGTGGTGGGGAAGCGTGGGGGGTGGGGAGGGGACGAGGAATTGAACATCAACTTCACAAATTTCTCTTGGAAAATTTCTTTAAATGTTAAGGGTATAAATCAACTACAAGTCTTATACATTGTCAGTAGAAGTTACACCACACAGTAATGGTAAAAATACAAGCACTCGAAGTAAAAGGGTGGATTCTTATAAATATACATGTATATATGACCAAGCAGTTCCACTCTTATTTACCCAAGATAACTACAGATACACATACTCTGTATACAAATGCTTTCAGAGGCTTTAGTCACAAGTAGTAAAAACTGGGGAAAACCTCAGCGTCCCACTAATAAACTATGGTACACTCATATATAACGAATGCCAGTACATGCAACCACATGGATAAATCTCAGACACATATGAGAGGTATATGTGCTAAGGCCATATATTGCATAACTGCTATTTGTTTGACATTCTGAAACAGTCAGAAGAGAGATCAGTGAATGACTGCTAGGAATGCTGGTAGGAGGAAAGTACTAGCTACAAATGCACATGAGGAAACTCTTGGGGTTAATGTAAGTGTTCTCTCCCTCAGCTGTGGACGCTTTGAATAACTGAATGTGTTCTTCAAAATTTATATTGTACACCTGAAAGGTGAACATTACAAGTAAATTACACTTCAATAAAATCTGACTTTTTTAAAAGGTAAATTATTATAAGGTTAGCCCCAAGCAAAAACTGAGTATTGATATTAGATTTTTCATTTTAATAGTAGTAAGGGCTGAAAACCTAAAATCATAAGGTCTTTGGTTGCAAAATTAACTAAATCTCCCATAGTACTTTCCCAGGTAAGTATGAGCACAGCAAGGAATATTAAGTTTCAGCTCACACTTATAAAGCTGAGATCTGAAGATCACAGTTCAAAGCCAGCTTACACAGAA